AAAACACACCATCCTCAGCCTTTCCTCTACAGCAGCAATGACTTTCTGATGAAGATCAATCGGAGAAACACCACTGAGTGTGTTCAGCAAGATCTGGATGAAATGCTGCATTACAGCACTTCTCTTTCTCCATCCACAAACCCAATGTGTTGTACACATACACACCCTGATCCTTTTCAGTGCTTCCCAAAACAAGACTCACATTATGAAGAGGACCGTTCAGGGTATTTGTAACACTTGTGACCACAGTAAAAAGATAAAGAGACTCAAGCTAATTGCATCAAGCGGTGAACTGTAATGCCGATATTAATGCTAACTGTTACTACAAATTTAGCATTCTGTCTGTTATCGTACATATTGTGCATGGTGTAATATGTGTATATTTAATGTGGATGTGTATATATTTTTGATTTGTTTTGCAATTGTAAGTAAATGTATTCCCTTGAAACAAATGTTACAGTTCTAATAGTGGACTATTGCACAAAGAATGAAGGATAATGCCTCAGTAAATGTAAAGATGTGTTGTCTTCTGGACCAAAGCTGTTTAAACTCAGACATTATACTTACTCAGTGCATAGAGCGAGAGTGTGATTCCAGCTAAGCAAAAGCCCTCAAAGAAGCGCAGGGTGCTGAACATTGGGACGTTGACGGAGAAGGCCACCATAATGCCGAAAACTAACATAAAGATGACGGACAGGATCAGGACCGGGTGCCTTCCAAACCTGAGTGTTAGAAAAGACAAAACAAGGCCGATTTACAAAATGGTTTATACCAGTGGTTTTTAATTTATATTATATGTGTCATATTAAATTATGACATCAAGTGAGTCAACACAGTAGCTTTGCTTAGTGTACAAAAGTCCTTAAAGTTATAGGTCACCCCCCAAAAAAAGTTTTTGTAAAGCTGTAAAGCTTCTTTTTCTCTAAAAGATCCCTAAAAGCGAAAATTGCTACAACTGAAATGCATTAACATTATCATGAACTGCATAGGCTCAATAACATTATAAACATGACATATGCTGAATAGGAAAACTGACTTGATGATTTCACGCTCTTGGCAGCAAATAACTCACGACACAAAACACAATGTGCTCGGCACAAACAATAGGACTCGTTCAGTAATGGTTTATTTGTATTCATACGCTTAAGAGAACTTCTCACTAAACAATTCTGTGACCGAGGTTAATCATTTGCAGAAAACACACCCAAAACATTTCCATATAAGGGCTTTCCGCACAACCTTTCCTTTACAGCCATTCATCATTCATATGATGCTATATATTTAAATTCTAGTTCGGTGTACAAGTATAAAATGAGTGACATGATTCTGATTCAGAAATGTGGGAAAGTAAGGCATTTTTAGACACTCACCTATCTGCCAAAACTCCCAACACCAAGTATCCAAAGATGGAGCCCACCAATAGGGAGAATTTGGCAATATGAACCATCCAGGCAGAGTCACCCACTAGGTTCCACTGTTGGGACAGAAAGATGCCTTATTATTAATATATTACATATTTCAATCTTTTCTGTCACCACATGAAAGAACAGAATTATTAAATGTGCCATTTGGTGGCGCACATGAATTAGTTTTTCTAAACCAGGATTTCTCCATCCGTTCCTGGAGTCTCCCCAGCACTGCTCATTTTGGACGTCTCCCTTAAATTAACATCAGCTGACCAGAAGTGCACCCCATGACCTGAGCTGTATGTGTCCAATAAGGGAAACATCCAAACTCTGCAGTGCTGAGAACAGAACGGCTCGAAAACCCCCGTTTTAAACGAACAACAGTGATTATGAGGTTTGAGATTTTATACTGTCCTTACGGATGCAGCATCACACAAAAGGGAAATTTCACAGGTGCATTTGGCATCTATTATGAACTCAACAGGAAGTGCTTGATAATGAGGGGTTTCCACGATAAGGTGAGCATTTGGCTGGGCATGTGATTTCAGCAAAGCGGTTCCGGTTATTTTCATTTTCACAGAAAAATGTGAGATTTGTCCATATAGAATTTGCTATCATGATGCTAGGGTGTTGTAGGTGCACTCTCAGAAATAAAGGTACAAAAGCTGTCACTGGGGCAGCACCTTTTCACTTCAGGAACTAATACTGTATGTATCTTTTTAATGTGCACCTTGGGGGTAAATAAGGTACAAAAGTGTACATTTTTAAAGGATACTGACCACTTTCATCCCTTTTTTTCTGAGAGTTTGTGTTTATGGAACAGCTGAACCTTTAGACAAAATATTGGGAAAATCTGCACGTGTTTTATGTTTTCTATCATATTTTATACATTAGAAGTTTGTGGCCTATATACTGAGAATACGGTGCTCACATTTGAGGAGGAAAAACAAACACAAAAACACTTTTATTCAGAGGCCCAAATTTGGTGCAGATGTTATTTATTTGATCAAAAAGATGAAAATCTGACAGCTTGTAATGTAAATTAATGAGCTTTTATAACAGACTACTTGCATATACATTATATAAGTATCAGTCGTCACTCTATTATTATGCTTTATTAATTTTCAAAACATATAATGCAATGCGATGCAGTGATAAACAAGAGATGGACAAATTCCTCAAAAGCCTGATGATCATAGTTAAGACTCGTCTGAACATGATATTTCTAAAAATTATGTATAATCAAGTAAGGTTTCTTCAGTCCAGTAAGTTTTCACATAAATGCTCATAAAGCAGTTAAAAAAATCATGCTTTACACCATTCCCCCTTTCTCTATCTGAAAACCACTGGCTACCAAAACTCTAGCAAACCCTGAAAAATGCACTTTAAGCTGTAAAAATGTGCTACCACAGAACAAAAAAAAACTAAACACTATTACATAATCTATTATGCAGAACAAACACTTCCAGAGCAGGACAAACAAAGAAATAAAACACACAAAACTCAGGCGGAAAGACCTTGCATTTAATTTTCTAAAGGAACAAAATACAACCTGCTAGCTGAATTGAGTTATATTGTATTCTAATCAGGGTTTCTAATGTTTCCTGGGTTTCCCCTGCTGTACAGACACTGACTGAAACTGCCACAGGATCTGTTTCCTCTATTGTGTGATGACTGAGCCGCACCCGTCACATGCTTCAGTATTACTCACGCTCTCAGATCCATGTCAGCTGCCAACCTTACCCACAAACTAGTCCTACTGAAACACTTTTTCACCATTATTTAATCAGGCAAGTCAATCGAAGTCTAACAACATTCGGACAAAAACCTAACCTGGCAAACCCACTGCTTACATAAGCATATTTCAGCTCATTATCACTGATAAATATTTTGTACGGACTCAAAGAGAAACAAATATTTATGGACTGCATTCAGACAGAAATCTAATTTTAAAACACTGATTTAATATCTTTGATTTAAAGATTTAAAAACAACAATTTTACCATGGTAATGTCTAATAAGATACCATACTTAGTACAGTAAAACAATTTTTTACAGCATTAAAAATAGACATCATTCGTACACACACACACACACATATATATATATATATATATATATATACACACACATACACATCACAGGGTATCCAACTTATGATAAATAAAATGCATACTGTATGTCCAGAACAAAACTATACAGTAAATCATGCATTTCAGATTCTTACTTAATTCAACAAGCTGCAGCACACATTCAACAACTTAAATTAAGTGAGGTTAAAATACTCCAGACACGTTTTATTCAATATATAAATATGTTTTGAAAATGGTTTATTATCTAATACATCAATATACACTAATTAGAGAGGTCAACCAATATTGGATTTTGCTCATAATGATGTGTAAAGAAAAGCAATAACCAGATTATTGTGGCGATAATCACAAAAAGAAAGAAAGTTGTATGTATAATGTAGGACTTTAGATTATAAACAAGCCAGAAATACACAGAGACTTTTATTTTGAAATGTGTGTACTACTCCCAGCTCATTAAAAAACATAAATGAGCATCATTCCATAACTGCAAACTGGTCTGAAACCGCAAGGCTGTCAAAATTTGCACGTTTTGATTTTGAACATGCAGCGCTCCTATTAATTTAATTATTGCTTATTTTAAGTTTAATCATCACATTAGACCATAATACAAATCCTGATTTTCCGTCCTCAAATGTAATACCACTTAAAATAATAATTAAGACACGCGTTGTACCATTTAAGGTATTAAACGAGACAATTCACCCAAAAATTCTGTCATCATTCACTCACCCTCAAGTAATCAAACAGTTGACGGTAGCCATTGACTTCCATAGTAGAGAAAAAAATACCATGGAAGTCAATGGCTACCATCAGCTGTTTGGTTACAAACATTCTTCACGATATCTTCTTTTGTGTTCAACAGAATAAAGAAACTCACAGGGGTTCAGAACAAATGGAGGTTAAGTAAACGATGACAGAATTTTGGGGTGAACTGGCCCTTTAAGGCTTATAACCTTCAAACTAGACTTTTTAAGGACCCTGTTTCAACCTAGGACTTTATTAATGTATTTAATTCCTCTGTGCACTTGGTGTTTATTAAGAAATAAGGAAACACAAACTCTTTTTTCAAACTTTGTTTTGTACCCTATTAGTGGAAAGTCCTGATTATGGTTTTACAGTATTTACAGTACACATAACGGCAGTCACGATTATATTTCGGTGTAAACTACCGACATGGTAAATTAAAGGGAAGTAGTAATGGCTGTTTTACATTAGAAAATTAACATTACATTACAAAACAGGCTACCGCTTCAAACTGTATTTGAGAGAAAGACATTCGTTTATTATCTGGTTATTCCGGAATAAATCCGATTATTACAGTGACCTTAATCAAGGCCGAGTCTGAGAATGCTGATGTGATTTCCCATGAGATGATCTGACAAATTTATAATGTATGTATATGAACTGTATGCTTGAACAGCCGCTTTCTGAGTGTTTTTACACACAGCTATGTGAATGAGGAAAGGGAAGGCAAGCAGAAGAGAATCAGTGCCAGTGAGGAAATTCAAGGCCGAGAGACAGAGATTGCCGCATAGTTTCTGCCTAGCAACAGACTAGCAGTGTGAGACACAGTCCTCGCTTGAACAGTATTTATTACTTTATAGTTCAAAGGAAAGAATAAAATGAAAGCAGAAGAAGTGAGACACACACTCGCGTGACGGAGAGAGTGTGTAATGAAAGTGAGCGACTCGCGATTATATTAGGAGGGTGAGATCATGATGCAGAGACCAAAATTCACCATTCTGGACTGAACATTTACATCAATTCATTTAGCAGACGCTTTTATCCAAAGCGACTTACAACTGTAGAAATGGTCAATTCTACCGAGGGTCATTCCCCATTTTCAAATACCTTGCTAGCAGCTTCAAATCATTTTCTCAGCTCAAAACACAAATGTTTCTGCCTGTTTGCAATCCAAATTGGATTCTGATCACATGAGGCAGAAATATATCATTTGTGATGCTAAAGGCTATGCATACTAACCATTGTGATAATAAACATAAATCTTATAAAAATATCATAGACTACTTGAAGACCACAGACAAATCACATATAGTCACATATTTTAGAGATTGACAGATATTGGATTTTGATATTTATTTTGTTTGTCACTTACATTGTAAGCCTATCATTTTTCTTTTTTTTTATATTTTACCTGTGCATTTTTATAATTTACTTTTAATGCTGTGAAAATGATCACATATGATTTTTCTCGTTCTTGTTTTGTTCTCTTTTTGTTAGCTTTAATCTTCATCCACACTGGAGTCCAATATAATATGATATATGATATAACTAAACCCTAGACCCTAAAATAAAGTGTTACCAACCAAATTATCATGTTAAATACAAATCCAGTCATATTAAATATAGGCCTATTTTGTATATTTAGTTAATAGATTACAGTAACATTAGGTTGCTTTTAGCCGTAGTTGCCGTAGAGTTCGTTCACTCTACGGTTATGAAACTAAGTAAGAAAACAATTAAATAAATTACAATGATAAGATCGTGTGTCTGCGATCTCACAGGCTGACGATAGGACAATATGACTATGGAGCATACCGCCCAACACTACTTGCATTCATACATAACATAGATTAATCCTTGATTATAAAGTTTTGCATGACTTTGGCGTGAACTAAACACCACAGATGCCGCGCTCCAGAAGAGAAGCGTTTGATCTTCACATGCTCTTCAGCTGTTCAGAGAGAGCTTCCATTCCTCTGAAGTCTTCATCTGGATCATCTGGAGTAATGGACCAGTTTGGTGCCGAAATCTGACACCCCCGCCAGATTATGACCATACTTCTACCCACCACACAGGAATACATTAAAAGTACAAGCTTTCAAATAACTTCACACACTGCATAACATTTCCATTTTATCTAATGGCTGGAATACACTAGATGATTTTTTAAAATCAGAACATTTTTAATACACTTACGGACTTTGTAAATAGTGGCAAAGAAAAACTGGGCATCATACACTACACAACTGAGGATCATTTACACACCAGACTTTCAAGTTTTTTCCGATCACAACAAATTCATGCAGAAACGTGCACACTGTTGCTGTTCTAAAATCTGCTGAAATATCAAACATGTTTGATCTCCTCCAACTGGATGTGACCATCATACACTACGCGGTTTTCTATAGAATCTGTCAACTCAAATCTGTACACGAGCAGTGTTGGGGAAAGTTACTTTTAAAAGTAATGCATTACAATATTGCGTTACTCCATAAAAAAAGTAACTAATTACATTACTTAGTTACTTTTTATGGAAAGTAATGTGTTACAATGTTGTAAATATGGACAGGGCTTGCTTGTTTGTTTTTAAAATAAAAATATATATATTTTTGGCAAATATAAAAGCCTTTTCACGCCAAAAGTGAAATGAATAAGCCTCAGGCTGAATTGAAAGTAAATTT